AGACTAGTGCCACTCAATAAATTATCCAACTACTAAAATTTATATTTTCATTACTCAAATATTTATATTCATTTGTGTTCTAGCTAAAAAAAAATCCATTTCGGTTAATATCTTTTGATTGCGAATAAAACAATGAACATCCACTCAACAAATTTGGTATATATATTTTTATACCGAAAAATATTCCTCTTTTTTTTGTGTGTGTGCGTCTGTGTGAATGAAAATACAGTATTCTTTAATATTTACTTAAGATATCAAAGTAGACATATTTGGTGTGAATTAACTAATGTTAGGTTTCAAACGGATCTATCGGCTACTATGTTGCGGTTGTTAACAAAGGAATAAAGAAACCAACCTTCATATGATTTATTACTTGACTTTGTTTTTCATTGTTTTCCATTTATTAAGCACTACAATTGTCTGCCATATATACTCATGAAACCCCAATAAAAAAATGTTTGGAATTTGGTAGTAGTATAATAGAAAGCAAAAGTTAGGTAGTGGAACAATAATGTAGTTGTCGTCTTGAATACGGAAGAAGAAGGTAAGTAATAAATGTGTAGTTTGGTATATGGCGTATGTGACAATTTATGAATTACGAATTACGAATGATGCTTTGCTTGGCGAGTACAACACGGGTTCATTGAGATTTGTCTTCACCTCTCCACTTGCGTTATACTACTACACCAGACACCTACAAGAAGACAACCAAAGCCAGTAATAACCAGCTCTTGTTCTGACTCCGAGGCTAACCAAACTATGCCCAAACCTCCAAATGGTTATTTGCTCACTATGCTGTAAATTAGTAGTATTATTACAAAAGATAAAAGAAATCCTTAATGTTAAGGGAACAAAAACGTCCTCATTTATTGTCGTCTTTGGGAGTTTAGAGAAAATGGATTTCACTAGAAAGAACATTAAGAAATAACAATTGTTCCTTCCATTAAAGGAAATCAATGCTTTTGAGACCCAATTTGCATTTACGGTGTTTCAAAAACAATAAAAAAAATATATGAGAAACCGAAACAAGAGGCTCTACATATTTGAATTGAGTTGAAAACCAAAATGTTTGGAGCAATTTTTAGTTGTCTTTAAAATTTATTGAACCGGGATCTCTCCTGCCGGATTGGCGGTTACGATGAATTTAAGAGACGAGATGCGCGCGCATGGGCATAACCACGATCAAAATTTTATGGAAGTGTTGCTCTCAGTTCCTTTCTGTCTGCTCCAAACGACTACAAATTGGCAAGGGGAAATGCATATAACTTAACTCAGACTTAATAATTCTCAAACCAAAGCTAAAGTGTCAAGGGTTGTCTCCAAAGGATATGAAGGAATGGAAGTTACCTCAGTTCCGAAATCTTTCGCGTATATATTTGT